GCACACAAAGTTGAAAAACATGAAACTTTAAAAAATTGTCCACACTTTTGGCCACCACTGTTAAGTGCAACAAAACAACATTTTAAAAAGCCAAAATTATAAATAAGTAAAATATCAATGCATCAGAGAAAAATAAAGATTCAAATCATTTTTATTGCTTAGCGTAGGAAGAAACTACACTCTACAATATATATACTAGGTATAATAAATTAAGGTTCAAATGATTTTGTCAACCGAGATATATAAATAATTCAAACATACATTTAAAATGCTACTTTTTTCTGTTTATCCAGTGGCGTGACATTTAAGGTATTGGCAGAATTTAGTTTATAATTCTTCTATCACTTTATATAATCTACTGTAGAATATCTCTGTGTATGATTTCGTTTTTAAGAATAAAATACTTACCTATATATTTTGATTTTTAAGAATAAAATAAAAAAAATATTTAAAATTACTTTTCTGGCTTTGAGGTACGGGTGACATGCAGTGTATTGCAGATTTTTCCTTTTCTAAGATTTTATGAGATCGAAGAATATGTGGTTGATTCGCTGTGACGTTATGATCTGTAAGTAAGGAAAAAAATTATAAACTTTTGGAAAATAAATAAATTTATTTTTTATTATCCTTTTTCAGAGATTGCCCCTTAAATATATTTTGTGTTGTTAGGAGGAGAGTTGAGGGATCAAAATTACTGTTCGGAGATAATTTTCTCAACGCTTTCTGGTAAACAGCATTTGCAATATGTGGTATGCTCATCTGGTTGCAAAATTAAATAAATTGTTGGCTGAACTCACCTAGTTGAAGGGGTGCTTCAGATATTTCATTTGTTGTCATTAATGAAATAAATTTTATTTAATGTCATTTATATGATACTGACATTTGATTTAATGTCATTAATAAAATGAAATTCTAGACTACTTGTAGATTTTTTTATAAAGTCGATCCATAATCATCTGCTCATCTTGTTTTATAATTAGTTTCATTTAGAAGCAGGTATAGGCCTGTGATGGAAAGTCTTCTTTCAGATTAAGCATTACTGTCAATTAAGCTAATTATCCTCTGATAACAATGTTGATTATCAAATATCAAAATTATTAAATTTTTTATAGTATAACTTTATAATTTGGTAAGGAACAGTGTCCAAAATTGATGATTTTTATCTTAACAGCAATGTGTCATTTAGAATTACTGTCTGTTAGGATAATTATCTCCTATAATTAAAGTATTTATCCCTAATTACCCTGATAATTATAAAATATTAAAAGAAAATTTAATTTTTCTTTTTATATGATAAAGAGTACATTTTCAAAATTTGAAACTTCAGCATTTGTGATAAGCTTTTGTTAACTTTCAATTGGGGTAATTATCCCTTATTTACCTTGATAATTACAAAATATCAAAATAAGTTGTTAGCTTTTCTATTTAGTATGTAAGGAACACATGGCCCAAATATGAGACTTCTATCTTACGAGTAATAACATGTTCTTTTAGTATTACTGTCAAAAGGGGTAATTATCTACTAATTACCCTATTAATTACAAAATATCTAAACAAAACTTTATCCTTTATACTTATTTCATGAAGAGATACATGCTTAAAATTTCAGCTTTTTAACTTCATGGAAAGTGGGAGAATTTATTAGTGATAAGCCAGTGAGTGAGTTAGTGACTGAGTGAGGGTTTTATCTTTTAAATGCATAAATAACATGACTATCAAATGAGAAGATAACAATTTTGAACTATGGTAAACTATTAGATAAATAAACTATTTTGAACTATTTGAAAGGATTTAATATAAATAAACGATTTTATTTACATACTTATTTCTTTAATTTAAAGTAATAAGTAAAAGAATACTGAAAAAGTGTAACGGTTTAGTTAAATTTTTTCTATTACATCTGATTGATAACTTTAGGTTTTCAAGATTAAGGGTTTAAATCTGATAAAAGTTAAAATAGAAAAATACATTGAAATTAGTTTGAAACAAAGATAATGATTATAGATTTAAATGTAAGCGATATCTAAAAGGGTAAATACTGGAGATGTAGGGAACACTATCTTCATTTTCATAGTTATATGGTGCATCAAAGCAAGTTTAGTTAAATAATTTTCACTTCATTTTTGATAGACATAAGTGCAACAAAACAACATTTTAAAAGGCCAAAATTATAGATTAATAAAATATCAATGCAACAGAGAAAAATAAAGATTCAAATCATTTTTATTACTTATCATAGGAAGAAACTACACTCTACAATATATATACTAGGTATAATAAATTAAGGTTCAAATGATTTTGTCAACCAAGATATATAAATAATTCAAACATACATTTAAAATGCTACTTTGTTCTGTTAATCCAGTAGTGTGACATTTAAGGTATTGGTAAAGTTTAGTTTATAATTCTTCTACCACTTTATTTAATCTCCTGTAGAATGTGGAACATCTCTGTGTATGATTTGATTTTTAAGAATAAGATACTTATATATACTTGTATATTTTGATTTTTAAGAATAAAATAAATAAAAAATATTTAAAATTACTTTTCTTGCCTTGAGGCTCATGTGACATACAATCTATTGCAGATTTTTCATTTTCTAAGACTTTATGAGATCGAAGAATATGTGGTTGCTTCTCAGTGGCATTATGATCTGTAAGTAAGGAAAAAAATTATAAACTTTAAGAAAATAAATAAATTTATTCTTTACTATCCCTGGATTGGCTTTTAAATATATTTTGAGTTAGGTAGAGTTGAGGGATTAAAATTACTGTTGGGAAATAATTTTCTCAACCAACACTTCCTGGTAAACAACATTTACAATACGTGGTATGCTCATCTGGTTGCAAAATTAATAAATTGTTGGATGAACTTACCCAGTTGAAGGGGTGCGGATTTTTTTTATAACGTCGATTCATAAATTTCTGCTCATCTTGTTTTATAATTAGCTTCATTAAGCAGCAGGTATATGCCTGTGATCGAAAGTCTTCTCTCAGATGTTGCAGTCAGAGTACACTTAAGTCAATGCTATTAATAATTTACTTTTAGACTTGAAAGTTAAATTAGAAAAAAAAGTTCTTTTAGAAAAAACTAAGCATCATGAAACAAATAAAACTCTTCTCGTTTTTAAAAACTAACTAATTTTCCTGATATAAATTTAAATGCAAACTTAAACAAAAACATAATTGTTTAATTATTTAACATAGTTCTATCATTGATAATTGGTAAATTTGCTTTTACAAATAATTCTATCAGTAGCTGTCATTTTTATTGAAGCTAAATTTTATTCATCGATTCTGTTTTCATGACGCCAATGCAAGTGGCGTTTCAACACCAAGAAAATGACACTGACTCCAAAAATAAAATCGTTTGCAATAAATCATATACCTTCAAAAACATTTTGAAGTCAATGGAGTTAACCCTTAAGAATGACCAACCTCCATTTTACTGTGGAACAGAGAATAATTGCTCCCAAAAGGTTTCACTTTATTAGATAAATTAGAGGAAAATACCTTTCTTAAATATTACTTTTTGAGATAACAAATTTCAGTACATTTTTCAAATAGATGGTATGAATAAGTAAGTAGCCAAAAACAAAATCTCGATATATATTTCTCTTACACGGCGACAAAAAAAAGCCTCATTACAACTCTCCGAATGGCAACATAAGAAAATCGACCAGTGATTGCCGCTAAAAATTTCACATGCCAAATCTAGCTGAGGTGGCTCAACTTATAGCGCTTTTAAAAACGGAAATTGAAATGACCAGAGCATTCTCACCATTCTCATACTATTAAGCTAGGCAGAAGTGAGTAGTCTTTGTCAATAGATCTCTATTTTAGTATTTTGTCGAAAGCGCTTTTATTTCACGAATTTATATATTACGAATTTATTTGACGATTTTTAATTTATATCACAAATTTATTTGTTTTATTATTGTTATTAGTTATTCATTGAAAAATGAGTCTCAGTCATGCTGTTACGCTTTAAGATTTTATACTATAGCACATTTCTAATAGGTTTAACGAATTACATATCATTTATTTGAATTCAAATTTATTTTAATGACTTAGTATTTACTAAAAAGATGTAATTTTTTT